TAAGTAACGTTAGTTTTTTATCAAACCTATAATATACACATGTCAATGAATTTGCGGTGTAATTTGATGCGTTTTCCAAGAAAATATATAGTACTAGGGATCTAGACTTAGGTACACGTATGTATATGTAAATATTTCTTCAAAACAAAATAAACATTGATAAAGTTGAACATGATTTTTTGTAATTACAATATTTCAAGATGATAATTTCTACATTATTTAAAAAATCTTCTGTTCAGGGTTTTATAATAATCTATTTAGTCTTGCTGGGTTTATTATATTGTAATAATTGTATAGAATGTATTTAAGGAAGTCTTTAAGTAAAGTTATATCTGTACTTTAAAATGAAATAAATACCAAAAGCAATCTCTTAGCTTATACAATGTTGTTACTCCAATTTGGGTTGAAGCTTAACACAATGTCCTTTTGAAGAAAAAGAATGGGTAATAATGAGACAATATCACAAAGTTATCCTTAATCACTTCTTCATGTTTGTTATGCTGGGTTTTACTTAAATCGTTACTAAATTATATCATTACGAGTTTTTTGTCATTGATAAGTATAATACACTAATAACTATTAGCTCTTATCCAATATATATAGTCTAAATGACTTCTATTCATAATATTATCAATAATAATATAATTATGGATAAAAACGTATAATAGTACTAGCGGTTCACCCTCTATTCGCTCGGTTTCGCCTCTAGGAAAACCACTAAAACACAAATCTATCCCACGGGAACCTTACATTTTTCCGGGATAAAATGTAGCCTATGTGCTATTCCAGGCTGTAATCTATCTCTGCCAAATTCAGATCTGTTGAGCCATTCTGGCATGATTGAGTAACAAACATCTAAACTTTCATATTAATAACTAGCGGCTCACCCTCGCTTCGCTCGGGTTCGCCTCTAGAAAAACACTCATAGAAATCTATTAGTTCCCATGGGAACCGTTCATTTTTCCCGGATGAAAAGTAACCTGCTGTTTGACCGGCAATATAAGGTATCAGAATTTTAATTTTACTAAATTAGGTGCATAAGTTGTATAAGTTATAATAGCTTTTTAACTATCCCACGGGAACCATTTAATTTTCCGGGATAAAAAATATCTAAGACGTTGTCCAGCGATATAAGGTACCACCATGCAAAATTTCATTTAAATCGGTCCAATAGATTCGGAGATTAGCCCGTACAAACAGACAAACAGACAGAGAAACAAAAAAATTGAAAAAAATCTGGATTTGTTCTATTTGTCTTCTTACATCCCCCTGACTCGCGATGGCTTATTATTAGCGTATTTCATGTATAACTTTGGTGTTTCTATACCGATTTCTATGATTCTTTTTTATGGATTAGTTTATAATGTTAACTTTTTTAATTAGGGATGACTGAGAGTGTTATAAACGTAAGAGTAGACAAATATAAATCAGAAAGCTTCGAACTGCTAAGCTATTGGGAGTTGGAGTTACACGTGCTATTGTGAGTCAACCATAAAAGATAGACATATGCTGTCGTGGGATATTTTTTATATAATTTTAAGGAGAACATTTCCGTCATACATGATTTCTGTGTAGCTTTAACCATTAAGGTTGCACACGCGACTGAAACTTAAAAAATGGAGTAACTTCTCCCGTTTTCCCAACACTTCCCTTTACTGCTCTGCTCCTATTGATTGTAGCGTGATGAAAAGTATACTTTAACCAGCTCAGGAGTATGAAAAATAATTGTACCAAGTTTCGTTAAAATCCGTCGAGTAGTTTTTGTTTCTATAACGGTTATACAGACAGACAGACAGACAGACAGACAAAATTTTTACTGATTGCATTTTTGGCATCAGTATCGATCCCTAATCACCCCCTGATAGTTATTTTGGAAATATATTTCATGTACAGAATTGACCTCTCTACAGATTTATTATAAGTATAGATACATATTATTAGTAAGATAGTGTATTATTTTTAAATACGCTACAGTGCCATATTTTAAAATCACATACGATTTCTAATAAATTATCATGTTCCAGTTTATTTCATTGCATTGTCTTTTTAATCACTTGTTTTTGTGTTTATATTGATGATCCATTTGTATCTACAGATTTTTTGCACATAGTCATATTGTTTTATTTAAAAGAAAAGTATTTTAATCCGGTATATTTGTAGATGTAAATGGGTGTGATCATTCGCCTGCCACGTTAAATGTGTAATTGTGTAGAAATTAACGGACCTTCATTAACAATTAATTTGCCTGTCGACATTTTCATTACTAATCTAATGATGTTTTATATTTTATATGTATATTTAAGGCATGCCATATGATTTAGTTTATGTCGCTTTTGAAATATTATTTTTTCGAGTTCAATTAAAATTATTATGGTTCGTCGTGACATTGAACAAATTTTTATCGAAATAAAAATAGCTTATAGAAATAGTGGATAATTTAGCTTCCTATTTAAATTTTAAAATTACAAATACTTTATTTGCAGAATCGGATAAGTAGTTCCAGATATTACCCCTTAAATCCAAACGTAAAAAAAAATATTTCTTGATACTGATGAAGAAATTGTAATTTCAAGGCGACTCATAAAAAGTCGATATCAATGTCTTGTTGTTGTAATGGAATATTTAATTCGTATTTAAATTACAATAATTATGACTACATCAATTATGCCCATAACTGGTAGACACTCTTGAATCTCGCTCTCTTATAACTAGTGTTACAATGTTTAAAAAATACAATTACATAATTCCTATATAAATTAAATCGATACATAGCTAATTTCATCATCATCCTTGAATATTAAAGTTACCGCTATCAGTCCTGTTAACTGGTGAATGTATTATTTTTATATTGTATTGTATTTGTATATTGTGTTATTTGTATATTGTACATAAAATAAAGCAATTTCCGCGATGTTGCCATGTTTGAATTGTCGCTCGAGAAGCGCTGCCGCCACTATGGTTTCCCTTTTAAATTAAATTAAATGTAACACACAAATTTTGCTACCTTCGTCGGTTTTTCGCGATTATATCCCTAACAGTTCATTTACATGCGGTACACCAAACTTATACAATTTTATCGGGCGATATCTCGAGAATTATTAATTTTAGAAAATAACAATTTTTAATGAAAAAGATACAAAATTTGGTTTAAAAGAGAAAAGATTTCTATAGTTTTTTGCGTAGGATCAGTTGTTATGGAGATATTGAATTAAACGCGTTTTTTCGCGACAGTTGCGCCAGCGCTTGGAGCGACCCCTCAAACTTGGCTTTAGGCTTAAAACTGCCCCTTTGTCGAATGGCATTATCGCGGAATTTGCTCTATCTTATGTAGATTTTGCCGCTTTTTTTTCTATATTGACTAGACTATACCTGTTATCTGAATGTATTTTACGATTTATGTACATGGAACATAATTCGACTTAAGTTTTGTCTTATTCATTTTATTAAATAACTTTTTTGTTATTCCTTCCAATCGATTTTTTGTAATTCTCAATGTAAATGACGATCTCGTGAAAAAATCCGCCTGCTAATTTGAGAGAATTCCATTCTTGAACCAATTTTTTATGACATAATAATGGTTTCAAAATTTTTCTAACTGGGTCATGTAAATTTTATCTAAAGCACTTCAAATACTAGGCCTCTAGGTTAATTTTATGATTTTGCACTCAATTTTATTAGATTGATTAATTTAGGCATGTATAGTAATTTCAGTGTTTTTTTCAAAGACTACTTATCCTAATAACAATGTTTGACAGTTATACTATTTCATTACCCCATAAGAGGTATCTAACTCTACGCCATATAACAATGAAGGCTCATAAAGCTTCTTTAAGGGCTTATGCTTCGTATATTATGTAACTGGCTAAAGTCCTAAATAATTTATCTATAGAGATATATGCGGGAAAAATAATAGTAGTGAATTTAAATAATGTTTTATAATCTATACTAATATTATCAAGAGGTAAAGTTTGTGAATTGTGAGTTTGTGACGTTGTAGGGGGTAATCTCTGGATCTACTGAATCGATTTAGATGAAATTTGGTAAGAATATAATTTGAGACCATGGGAAGGACATAGGATACTTTTTATTCCGGAAATCATCCCTTAAGGAGGTGAAAATGGGGATGAAAGTTTGTATAAGGATTCAACCTAGGGACGAACCCGAGCGAAGCGAGGGTGTGTCTCTAGTAAAAAATAAAAACTGTAACTAAAATATCTAACGGAAAAAGTTCGCTATCGCTAAGATAAGCTGCCGTTTACCCTGTGCGGACGGGGAGATACCGTTACATCATACGGGTTACGAAAAACAAATTTCTTTTTTGTCGAACAGCACTTTTTGCTATGGATTATTCTTCTGGAGTTGTTATAACATGTTCATATGTAATACCTACTAATAAAAAAAAATATATATATATAGTTTGATCACAAGTCGCATTTATGGATATTCTAAAATGACCTGGCATTGAGTAATTTATTTTGATTATCTCGTTCTTATTGACTTATCGAGTACATAAAACTTTCAAGATTAATTAAATATTAACGGGATCGCTTTTTTTCCATACAAGTAAATATTTTTATAACTATCTTACACGAACAGTTTATTGAAAATACGTTCTCAATACAAGGCAAGTGGCTATATATGTATGTACATTCCGTTCGATTTTTGCAAACAAATAGCACATTTTCCCACCGGTACGAATGCGCGTACGCATTTCTTTTTATTATTATTTACTAAACAATACGGAGAACTCGGGATTTACGCGACCCCTAACTACCTGGTACCCCCTCTTCGCTCCACCGTCCCGCCTTTTATCCACCCTTGGAGCTGTAATGGCGTCATTTTACCCTCAACCCTCGAATATGCGCGTGCGACGATTTATATGTAGCAATGAAACGTACAGAGTGTTGTATTTAAAAGTTATTATTTGATATAAAGTTATAATGTAAATATCAGCGTGTAAAGTTTAAGTAAAGTGATAGTGTAAATAGTGAGTGTACAAAATGGATTTGTCTATACCTAGGATTAAATTTGAGGCTGAAAAGTACTTTGAAGAAGAATTCGATCTTGAAGAAGCGTAAGTTTATTTTGAAATCTACAAAAGATCGTTGGTTATTCGAATATAAGTAGAGAGTGCGGCTAATTAATATCTTTTGAAACTATTTCTTTTATAATGAATTTATCAGAAGTTGATTCGAATTCACTATTTATTTATGAAATTATATAGAACTTTTGTTTATTGGTTAGCTTTAAGATAATTAATACTGAGCCCTAAAGTCTCAAACTATTTTTGCCGGGTAAATAAAAATAGTAATGATATAACCGCGTGTGTTGCCAGTTTCATTATTATATGCGATCCGTTCTTAATTGGCGCTTGGACTCATTTAACTTTACGTAAGTTATTATTAACAGCGCCCGATACCCGCCGAAGCACAAGTTGCTCGCGGAACTCGCAAACTTTTTACCAGTGGGATTATATGTTGACTCCGGCGAGATTGGCCTGGGAATTGGGAGCGACATAGTTACGCGACTTAAATGTCTACTCTACTGTACCGGACAAATTGCACATACGACCACGTAAACGGTTGTGTTTATGAAACTGGCAATACACTGGTTGGTCCTAGTCGGGCTTTCGTTATGATCGCGATTCGCTAGATTGTGGAATGTGATAAAGTAAAATATATTAGGCATGTCGAGAAATTTAGGTGATATTTCCGAATTAGATACTGAACGTGCTTAACATAAATTGGCTTGTTAACTGTCTCATAATTAACAGTTGATAAATTTTATAAATTCTCTATTTCTAAGCAAGATACTGTGTATATATGTATGTATGTGTCCTTTTTATTGGCTACGGTTTTTAAATTTTATATGAAGGAAGCGAAATAGATGAGAATTATGCCACGAAATAATGGTGGGAATTTAACTGCGTTTTATTGTATCCTGATTATATTACACAATTGCATAGGTATACATATTTTTGATTAGAATGTATTGTACATAAATAAAAAAGCAATTCTTGTCAAGACTTATCATTACATACCGCGAATAAACTTTGGAGACAGTAAACAACGTGGGTATTAACAGTATTATATCTATACGTATAATAAAATTGTAACTAAGCCGAATCTGTACATTAAATATTTTTTGGAAAATCTTATTGAAATAAACATTATCGATACAGAGGCCGAATCTATAGTTTTTAGAATTTTTATCAGTCTCTCTGTCTGTTACCGCATCACAGAAAAACCTCTGGGGGATTTTAATGATTTTTTTATGGTGTTTGCTGATTATCCGGGTCAACATATAGGATATGTTTTACCGCGGGAAAATGTCTCATTTTTGAGAAAAAATACAAAAACTGCAATGTACGAGTATACTAATATGTAAAACCTAAGAATTTGGTTTTTGGTTATATGAACGCGGGCGGAACCGCGGGGAAAGCTAGTGAATAAATAAGAAATAAACAATGCAGTGTTCAATTTCACTCGATCCTATGCAAACATAATGTCACAAACAGTTAATTTCCAATCGACTGACTGCATACTGGCATACCTATATTGGAATGCCTAATTTGGCAAATCATGGCCGGCTTAATCAAAGCGTGCAGCTAATTAGATCGCATTCACGGCGTTTGGTTGTTTAGAATTTACTGGAAATAACTAAATTACATATAATTATCGTAATTATCTTGGTCTTGTCGAAAATTTGAAAGATTAATGAGTTATTATATGCCATTTCTCTTGTTTTTAAGTAGTTTTTAGATGTTATTTAACTACCAAAAAATGTATACAGTAATATACTGTATTATTACTTGTTTGGTTCTGTCAGATATAATAGGTTAATTAATAATAAATATGTCAAAACTGTTATTCTGATGGTAATAAAGCTTGTTAAGTGGTAATAAATTCAGAATTGTCAATCTATGTTAGGGAAAGGTGCTCATTTGAGTATCTAATAAAATTTTACTACTTTGTGTCTTCTACACCTAGAAATTTTAAATTAAAAATGTTTCTACAATAGGTCGTTTTTATTTTATACGTAACGCTCTGTACGTTACATTGTAATGTCTGTAACATTAGATAATATGTACCTACCAACAATGGATTTTAGAACAATAACATAACTGTACAGTTTAGAAAAGTACATAACTGTTGAATATCTCAATGGCTTGAAGATTCTCGTAATATGCTAATTTTATGTTAAGCCTCAACTGCTTACAAAAGCTAAAGGGGTATATAACAAAATAAAAGTTCACTTTCGTTCGCTGTCTAATAATATTACATTTATAAATAGATCTATTTCGCTAAATAGATAGGGAACAAAATTTTTCGCATTTGTGTCAACCTCAAAAACACATTGTTAATTAATTATATTTTACTAGTGTCTGTGTGCATTTGCGCTCGTTTGTAAAGTGTTTTCTTTATTTTCTTATATCCCACTTTGCAAATGTCCAGTAAAAACGTAGTTATTATAGTATCACATTACACTTTTAAAGTTTTGAAGAAAAAAAAAGAACCTTTATATCTCCTCTACAGTGGCTTACGGCCAAACTCTTGCAAAACATCTGACAGTAGTCACACACACATACAAACTTTCGCATTTATAGTAGTAACTATAAATGCGAAAGTTTGTATGTGTGTGTGCTTTTGTGTATGTTTGTTACTCTTTCACGCTGAAACGCATTCGACGAAATTTAGTTACACAGATAGATTATGACCTAGGTCCTAGAGTAACGTATAGGCTACTTTTAGAAACATTGGGACGCACCACTATAGTCTGTTTTTTAATCTCAGAGACTAAATTGACACATGCAAATGTCAAATTTACAAATAATGTTGCCAGCTCTTTTGTGCAGTGTTGTACGTACGATTACGGTTTGTTCAATCGTAACTTTTTATCTTTATTAGACGATTCGCTACAAAGTTTTATATTCCAAAGCGTATCATTAATATCCCCATTATTAATTTTAAATCATTAAATATCGTATTTATTAATTTAATTACATATAATATTTATAGATTTTAAATCATTAAGATTCACATTATTAAATTTAAATGTACATTATTAATTTTGTATTGTTACGTTTTAAATAAGTACTTACGCGTTATTTCAGGCTAACTTATTATATTAAAAGGATACTTGATTTTATTAACGTTAATTTTCGATAGTGGCACATCACTATTTTTATATATTACAAAAAACTGGCAACCCACACAATGTCAGTTTTGTCTCTGAGAATAAAAAACAGACTATAGTAAGATATTATTAACGAGATTAATATTGTTTACAGTGTGGGAGATAGCAAAGCACACGACTCGTTGGTCGCGGCGTGCGGTGCGGTCGGTGCGGGCGCGGCGGGCGCGCGCAGGACGGGCGGGCGCGGCGCCACGACGACGGCGCACAGCAAGCAGCTGGCGGCGGGCGGGGCCAACCACCCGGCCCAGCCGCAAGGTAACAAACGTATGATCAACCAATTGTTGTTGCCTCCTATGTAACTCTACACTACACAATTATACACTAGACATAGCACTACACTAAAGCTGGCCAACACTACACTAAATTTACTATATGTATTATGGCTTGTTCTTTTTCCTATACACTAAACTACACTACATAGCTCCACTACGTAACACCACACTTAATTAAGTGTACAATTGTATAATTATACCTACTAAGTACATTAATAGATTGTCTTGTTTTTTCTGTTTACAAATAGCTGACTCATCAGATGTCCTGTCCCAATTTCAATAAAATTTATGACTAGCGATCTATCATCGTTTTGCTCAGGTGCGACTCTAGGTGTTTATTATTCACACATTTTATAGTTTTATTTTACACCGTTAAGGCATCGCGAGCCAATATGAAAGTCAACGACCACGATTTTTCCGGCTTCATTTAAAGTTATTATGATTTCTAACAGTATACACATTTTTATCAAAATATCCTAAATCACTCGGTGGTGATAGAGCTTTCTCTTAGTGATATAATTTTCAAAACCGGATGACTAGAATCAGAGAATACCCTCTACATCTATACTTACAAACTTTACCCCTATAATATTATTGTTTAGAACAAAATAATTCAAAAATTGTATGAAAAAACGAACTTTTAGTTTCCTACTAATGTACGTAATAAAATATGTACCTAATGCAACTTTTGTAAATATTTTTTACTAAAAATCTTTGTGTATGTATGTATGTATTCAGCCCTTTTTTTTTTTAATGTCCCACTGCTGGGCACGGGCCTCCCTTCAATACGTGGGGGGATCAGGCCATAGTCCACCACGCTGGCCAAGTGCGGGTTGGCGGACTTCACATGTCTTTCGAAAACTTTCTAGGTTCTCTCAGACATGCAGGTTTCCTCACGATGTTTTCCTTCACCGTAAGGCAAGCGGTAATCATGTTAGAAATGATTCGCACATGAAAATATCAGAGGTGCGAGACCCGGGATTTGAACCCGCTTCACTCGGTGTCCCAAGCGAGCGTGTTACCACTGGGCTACCACTGCCTTCTAAAAAAAAAAATCTTTGTATTTCTCCTAAATCACGCGTAGTTATTTAGGATAATATAAAATGGCTTAGGTATACCTACCTTCAATTATGTTTCGTGTTTCTACGCAATTTATAATTACAATTTTTCGCAATTAATTGAAATTTTCATGAAGGTAATTTAATAAATTTTAATACTATTATATCGTGTAAATGACTTCTGCCACATCCACTAAAATTTTGTAATATTAATAAATAGATACGTTGTATATTCTTCGCGTAAGATCGTTCTATTAAAACCATATTTTATTTCAATCCTCATGAGCTAATCTGAAAATAATCGGTGTAATTGTTGCGATTAAATGCGTATAATTTCATCGTTCGTAGTTATATATGTATGTTATACGCAATATCCGCGCTACAACAGATGTTATTATGGCGCAATACTGGTACCATTATCTAGAATATCTAAGTTATGCAACATGCTTAACTAACTCCGCTATTGAGATGTGCTTGCTTGTATCGGATTGCGACATTCTTATTTTATTGACGTCCTTGTTAATTAACTAGCGACGCATCGCTCGGGTTCGTCCCTAGGGTGATTCCCCATACAAATTTTCATCCCCATTTTCACCCCCTTAAGGGATGATGCCCGAGATAAAAAGTATCCTATGTCCTTCCCAGGGTCTCAAACTATCTTCTAGTCAAATTTCATATAAATCGGTTTAGCTGATTCAGAGATTACCCTCTACAACGCCACAAACTCACAAACATGTCAATGGATAATAAATAATAATACTTTCACATATCAACACGGTATTTGGTGAAGACGAAATAAAATTCGAGCTATTATACATATATGTATCTATATTTATAGCATATACATATACTATGTATGCTATAGGTAGGTAATAGATCGTACTGTGTTCGCTTATTATTATCGAAAATTATTTAAACATTTAAAAGAACTTTATATATCACAATTAAGTGAATTTATTTTATATTATTGATTATTGATAACCTTCATTTTATTTTTAAATGTCAACAGTGCCAATCACTTTGCGTTGCCAACAATACACTCGTACTAAATGTATAGAAAATATTCGAATACTTTTATAAAACAAAACGCTAAGTTTTAAACTGAATGCGATTCCACTTTGTTTAAAATATTGATATTTTTCAAAGTATTTGCAGATGTTTGACGTAATATATTATGAATATATACAAACAAGCACATGTTTTCATCAGAATTCTCAAATACATTGACGTGAATATGTATCGATGTTTTATGTAAGTTTACTAACAGATTTTAATGTTATTAAATTGTGGACTATTACATAAATACTAATTAACTAATTAAATTATTATAAAATATTTATACTATAATATAATTTCATAAAAATAACTCAAGTAACGAAAAGACAAACAAAATATACATACATATATGCATAAAAAATTAAGCAATTTTCCTCATATAAAATTAATACTTGGGATAAAATAAAACTTAATTTAAAATATACAGTATAGTATCAATAATAACAGCTCAGTTGTTTCATTTTTAAATTAAGCCAGACTACGATTTAGTTGGTGGATAACTTTTACCTGCTGATTGGAAAATCTGCTCTTTTTTATGCACCTGCGTAAACAAATGATTATGTTATAAGTACGTAATAGAATATATCGAACGTTTTGAAAATACAATATAATTTCAAATTAAGACAATCTATCCACGATCACATCGTACACTTCACATTTAATTTTTTCTATAGTTAAACTACTCCTTATAAGGTAATTAAATTTAAATATTATGTACAATTATTGAATGTTCTTAAACCTTATAAGGTGTATAGAGGAGCGGAGAGTATAAAACTTCAACCAACCTACTAGGAGGCAACTACAAGCGTTGTGGTACCTGTAGCTTGATTGAAATTTGGTGCACTCTTTCTTATATAATATACATATAATAAGTGTTGGCAGAATGAAGTGATTTGTCTCATTCTTAATAATTCATATAGATTTTTAAATTTTTAATGTATTTACATACGAATATAGGTTATTAATAAAAAAAATTATTTTTAAATCAAATGAAGAAATCATCCTGCTTACATGCTTTTGAATGTCAAGTATGTTTGTGTATGTATATTATACTTTTTTGTGTTTTGTTATTTGCAACCTTAGTTAATAGTTATTAATAAGTATGTAGTTAATAAGTAGTTTAAACTTTACACTTATAACAATATGCCTTTAAGTCATTTCTCAAATCTCGTAATTGATTTACAAGACTTAACTAGTATTTGTTCTTATTTATTGAGGTTAGTAAATCAATCCTTTCAAGTCATAAATAATAAATAATAATCATACATTTTCTAATGGGGCTAATGTGCGTTATATTTTTCATGCGGGCGCGGTTCACTGCTTGTGTCGTAATGCGACGATGCGATCGGATGCGATGTGTTGCGATGTGACGCGACCGCAGGCTCCGGCTGCGGTGGCGATGGAGACTACCAGCTGGTGCAGCACGAGGTGCTATATTCCTCGTCGAATAGGTGAGATTTATTGCTACGTAATTATTTTATTATATTCATTGCGTAGGTATTAAGTTTTTAACAGTTGACAAGGCTAACAATAGTTAAGCCTACTTTCGATTCATGTGTTTTTTGTTTTGTTTTTAAATAAAATATGTGACATTAAAATTTTAAAACCATTCGATAAGCAAATATCGAAAAGTATTATAGAAAAAGATTACTTTTGCTTAAACATATCGAAAATAATAGAGCACGAAGATTACAATAGAACTTGCCCTACGGTCTGGCGAATGTGGAACGCGCACCTAACTTTGAAACTTGTTCAATTTTCATAGTTAAGTTTTCCAAGTTGACTGAGCCAAACAAAACTTTAAAAAACCTGTTTACTATGATTTCGTGTTGCAAATAAGCTACGGAATTAGGAAAAAATAATTTCTTTTCGACATCGTAAACAGATGCCTATATTTCATTTAAAAGCGTATACAGTCTATAAAATTTATACATAATGTACCATGTTGTATAGATTTTATAATACTTATTACTTAGCGCTTATTTCTTTTTATTTATTCCGACCCATAATTTTATTTCTAATAAATCTAAAACATCTCTAGTCCAATTTGCTTTAAATCTTAAAACCAATTCTGGAAAGTGTTTTAAATTAATGAAGGTGCCGCCCTCAATCTGCTAAATATAACGTTTACTTCTTAAAAATTGAGGAAAGTTATAAAGATGAGTGGGACGATACCTGTAGAATTTGAAATTAAAATGTTTTTTTTCAATGGCTCGTCGAAGCCTTTGAATTGTCCAAACGTTAGGGATTGCTATTTTAATGTACAGGTAGAAAACGAAGGTAGCATGTCTGGTATTATAGTCGACGCAAATGTTAACACTTGCTATAATGTTATGACAGTCTATACATATAATAAAATTGTAACTAAGCCGAATCTGTACATTAAATATTTTTTGGAAAATCTTATTGAAATAGACATTATTATCGATACAGAGGCCGAATCTATATTCTGAGAAATCTCATTTCTGAGAAAAAAATACAAAAACTGCAATGTAAGAGTATACTAATATGTAAAACCTAAGAATATGGTTTTTAGTCATCAGAACGCGGGCGGAGCCGCGGGCAATGCTAGTTTATTATAAATTTCTTGGAAGAATTGCTTAAAAACGTTTTATGCTAGCCAAAAAAATACCATGCATATAAAACAGTTTGTAATTAAAGAGAGTTTGTTCTTTGCCTAATATTTTTTTAAATAATCACTCATTCAACAATCATATTTTTATTAACATTAACTTTTACTAAAAAAAGAAGAATAATTTACATTTTAGTGCTTAGCTGTTATTGTATATAGGAAGTTGTTTACATATTTCTTTAATTATAATATTTTTTATTACTAATTTATGATACTATTTTTATTACTCTATTAATATGTATGTGGAGATTGATTGAAAAACAATATAATTAATATAATTAGGTACGAGGTGCTCGAATTCCTCGGGCGAGGCACGTTCGGGCAGGTGGTGAAGTGCTGGAAGAAGGGCACTAACGAGATAGTCGCCATCAAGATATTGAAGAACCATCCCAGCTATGCTCGCCAGGGGCAGATTGAGGTTTGTTATGTTACTACTTTGATCTTAAACTATTTTACTTTAATTAAATACTAGCGGCTGACCCTCGCTCCGTTCGGGTTCGTCCCTCGGTACGTTTTAACGGTTAGTCATTCCCATACAAAATAAATAGTTTTGGTCGTTTTCCAGATTGTTTTTTTTTGGGTTTTACCTTTTTTTATACTTAAACCACCCCTTATTTACTTATTGTTGGGAAATACATTTACGCATACATATGGTACACCACTCACCGAAGTGGGCCCGGTGCGTTTCTTGGTTTCGCGGTCGGCTGTATTGCCGGGCACTACCGAGCACCCCCCCCCCCCCCCCCTCCTCATCACACATCCCCAACAAAACAAAAATAGAATCAATCAAATCGGCCGTTTTTGAGTTTGAGCGAGACTAACGAACAGTACTTGATTTTTATATAGATACTAGCTACTCACCTTCGCTCCGCTCGGGTTCGTCCCTAGTGAAAATTTAGGTTAGTATGTTATTTTTAATGCCGAATCATAAAAAAAAATTGACCAAAGAAATATTTTTTTTTTGGAGTGGACCACCCTTATCACTTAGGGGTATGAAAAATAGTTTACGTCCTATTCTCAGACCTACTAAATATATACACAAAATTTCATAAGAATCGGTCAAGCCGTTTCGGAGGAGTTTTGTAACAAACACTGTGACACGAGAATTTTATATATTAGATAGAATAGATTATGTTTTACTAGTTTTAGCTCCCGTGGGTTCACTCGCGTAAATAATTTATATATAATTAATCTGCTGAAAGTTTTCTCAATAATATACCATATTAGAGAAACACATACATTAGTCCCGGTCACGGTACCTGTGCAGTAGCTGATTCAACAATAATCTATTTCTGTTTATAGAATATTAAATATACGAGTTGAAACGTTTTTAATCCGAAAATAATTTTCAATATTGAATGAATACTATTTACTTACTATAGGCGATATTAACTGTTTATGTTTTATAATATCTAGATCAGTTTACGTTTATTTCTTAATTGAGTTCATCACCAATTAAGAATATTTACTTAAATATGATATCCAAAAGATTCGCCTATCTTAGTTTATTTTGGCTCCAAAATTCGTTCTCAATATCTCAATATTAAAATAAACATAATATTGTTATTAATGATAATAGCATCTCTCATCAGTAATTTCTTGTTATCATATTGTTATTTCTTTGATACAAAGTATTATAATTGAAAACAAAATGATTTATTTTTTAAACAAATACAATAACAAACTTTCCCGTATTCTATTTTCTTAGTTTAAAAACAAGAATTTTTGTTGTAAATTCCTTCGACACATCGCTATTAAAATATTCATATTAAATACAGAATATTAAAAATATAGTCGAGTTATATGCAAAAAAAAAATACATTATATATCATTTATATAAGATTTTTAACCTTTATAAAAGCAAAATACCACTCATTGATTAAAAATGAAATCTCAGAAAGTATAAATACTACAAACTTGAAATTTTCCAGAAAGGATTACCTATTGGAAATTCATCCTTTACAGTTTACAGGGAATAAAAACGGAAATGGAAATTTGCATATAATCCGTTTATTAAAACTACGGTGTAGAGCCGCAAGAAAATGTTAGTTTTGAAAAATTATTAATGTATGAAACATAAAACCACATACGAGCGTATTATTCTTTAAACACACGACCGCCACTTACGTTCTATTTTTCAAAAGGCGTTATTTTCTTGTAAGTCGCTTTACGACATCGCCTGGCAACGTTCCAGCTATCAAAATGTTTGTGTTTACCCACCAGAGTGCTCCCGCGAAATATATCTCTTTGAACGTCCTATCGGGCCCGATAATTGACCGGCTTACGTACGTACCTACCTTTGTACATACGAGTAAGTATATGCTATACAAACTTACCTCATATAACGCTACACCATGACAATTATTAGTTTATATGAATTATTATTATTATCTGTGTGTTATCGCTTACCTATTTGAAATGAAAAAAAAAACATAAACTTGTTTAACTGTTTTTACGAAATTTTTAGCGCATCTCGACAGCGCATTTCATCAGCTCGACAAGCCAAGTGCTAGTATGTATGTATACGTAATTAAAAATATAAGTTGGTATTTGGTATACTGCCGATTTTTTTAACTTACAATTAAAAGGATCGATTTTAGATATTTGTAATTAATTGATTAGATAAATTTTTCCTTGTGTATAACAAACAAGTTTTGTATTTTTTTTATGCAATTGTCTTATACAATATTTCGATATCGTTCTTTATATAGACTTCTTCTTATAAAGACTTCGCCGCCATACTATTTATTATATATAAATTATACCTCAGTCTATTAACTTAGTTACGATAAGATATTTATTATAGATGGTATCTATTTTGTTCGAAGCAATTTCCTTTTATTCAATACTGCCAATTCTTTTAGCTGCTTCGTAAAATTCTTTACATTACTGGGATACTTCAATTTATATCAGTCTACATAAAATGCTTGAGATTTTCTTAGTACCTTGAAATAATTTTTGAATTGAACGTTTTTAAAATTGCTTTCTTTATACACGAAATTGACTTAAGTAATTGTGTTATTACTCGGTATAACTCCCTTCCGATTTTATTGAAATCCAATGGGCCATGAGTTACAGCATATATTACCAAAAACACACTCAAAATCACTCACAAACTTTCACATTTATAACAAGTAATTTAGTGTAATATTCCCAGGATTTAAGCAAATTTAAAAACAGAAATTTCGTGATAAATATTATGTTTTTGTTAAAGTTTCATACTTTATGTTCTCTTACCATAACGTAAGAGTACATAAAGTATGAAACTTTATTTTATTTAAGCTTAAACTCTTCATATACTTTGAAAGTATAGAACTGCACTATATGTGTAATGTATCAATTATCTGGTATCCATAACACAGGGTGATATGTGTTAATGTCCCAATATATTTATTGTTTATATTTATTTATTTATTGTATGTTCCACCAGGTGTCCATCCTCTCCCGCTTGTCTCAAGAGTCGGCGGACGAGTTCAACTTCGTCCGCGCGTACGAATGCTTCCAGCATCGCTCGCACACGTGCCTCGTGTTCGAGATGCTGGAGCAGAATCTGTACGACTTCCTCAAACAGAACAAGTTCTCGCCTCTACCTCTGAAGTACATCAGGCCGATATTACAACAGGTCTTGACGGCGTTGCTTAAGCTCAAAGTAAGTACAATTAAAATACATTACCTACATTCATGTCAATTCATACATTAATATAACGCTTTTGTTACTAATTGTACCTGTACTTCTGTTGTTGTTGGAATATGTAACAAATTTTATGCCAAAGGATATGCAGGTTTTTTATTGATGTTTTCTTCAAAGTAATTTTTTCGATGTTATTCACGTATGAAAGTGTTAGAGGTTTTTGAGTCCCAAGTGAGAATTAATTGAAAGTAATTTTACGTTAGGGATAAAATTAATGATTATTGATATATTGAATTGAATTTTCTAGCAACTGGGTCTCATCCACGCGGATTTAAAGCCGGAGAACATAATGTTGGTGGAGCCCGCGCGTCAGCCCTACAGGGTTAAGGTCATCGACTTCGGCAGCGCCTCGCACGTCAGTAAGGCCGTGTGCAACACCTACTTGCAGAGCAGATACTATAGGTAAGTGTGGGTTTGGTTACTGGTTACTCGTTTATTTAACTGCTTCGGTGGTGGCTAACATGTTAGGATTTAGATCCGGAAGTTCTGGGTTTGAGTCCCGCGTCGGCCCAAGTTGAGTTCGGTCTTTCTGTTAAGAAAGTCTTGTAAAAACCCGAAATTGAGAAGTTGGCAGTGTTTCATCTCCGTGCAGAGGCAGAGCCGTCGGTCTTGAGTCTGATCTTTAACTGATCGTGTCGAATTTAGTCCCATAGGAGTAGTATGAGAGTAACAGGAAATGAGTGCAGGAGAGTGCACGTAATTGTGTCTGCATACATTTGTGCACTATAATATCTCCTGTGCAGTTGATTAGCTACCGTGGCCGAAGTCGGTCAGGAGGACGTCATTATCACTGGTTTATTTACTGAATTGAATAGAATAGAATGAATTTTAATTGTGATACACTCTGTTTACAGACATGATTATTATAATACAATAGGTGGTAATAAAACAAAAAAGGAAGAAAAAAAATAAAAAAAAATCTTTTGTGTTGTTATTGAGAGGTTTATGCCACTCATTGTGTATGAATGACAACTTAACAAAATAATAATGATAATTAATCGATTTACAGTTTGCAAAAATATTATATACAAAAAAATATTATAAACAAAACTTATATATACACAAAAATGATATATGTTATTGAAAACTAGCATACGAAGACTTTGTTTATATCTAGGTGTTCTACTCACATGTACTTACCGTTTAAAATAGTAATTTTCCTAACATTATAAATTAACATTAGTAAAATTGTACATGCAATAACAACCTTCAGTTGTTAATATTGTAATTTTATATAATTTTCTTTGCTTTAAATAACTTAAATCATGTAACTATCCTAACTTAATCATAGAGTATGCATATAAGGAGGAAGCGGGCCATTCCCAACACAAGTATCCTTCGGATTACTTACTGGGAAGACTCGAACACAAAATGTAAAAAATGATTAAGAAATAAAAACTATTATTTTTATATATATTTTTTTTGTTTTACTTTTGTTTTGGCTGATAAATATGTCTGTTCTATACACAAATACAAGTTTATAGTATTATAATGGCTGATGATTATGTCGATTCTTTCCAGAGCACCAGAAATAATTCTAGGGCTCGCGTTCTGCGAGGCGATAGACATGTGGTCCCTCGGATGCGTCGTGGCCGAGCTGTTCCTGGGCTGGCCGCTGTACCCGGGCTCCTCCGAGTACGACCAGATCAGATACATCTCCCAGACCCAGGGGCTGCCCACTGAGCATATGCTCAATAGGTATGGTGGTTTAGTTTTGTGTTTTATTGTAAACTTATGTTTTAATGCCCGATCTGGAAGTTTGAATTTAATTCATTATGAATATAAATCAAAAATGAAAAATCTAGGTAGGTAAGTATATAGTTGAGGAAAGCATTTATATTTATTCTGTTGCAGAATACATTGTAGATATAAATGTGTGGGATTATTCTAGAAATATATAGTAATTTTATTTTGGGATATTTCAACTATTACTAAAAAAACTACAGTCGAGTTTCCCGCTGGTTCTTCTCAGTAGACCTGACTTCCTGTCGTAGCTGTCTAATGGACAAGCAATGCTGACATTTTATATTAAATGTAAAAATTGACAATTTAAAAAATGCTTATAAAAATCTATTTAAATGGGCTAATAGGAATATTCTAGTAAAGGAGTTTCGAAATTTCGCACAAAGCAAATCTTTACATTGACAAAATAGATGTATGTACTCTTATAAGTCGCAGCTGTGCTCACGTATGGCGATAATAATAGCTCGCAGATATACATGCAAATGAGGAAACCTACTTATCTAGTCATAGTAATATATCTTGAATTGTATCTATTATATATCTAGCCCTAATATAATGTACTATAGAAATTCGTAGCATACAAAAATATTAGATTTTGAAATAGTATATTTTATAAGTTGATATTAGTTATTGTATGTGACCTGTTTTGAAACAAAAATTCATTGAACAGTGCATGCAATATAATGTATTATGGAATCCGTCACATATATATATATTTGTACTTTTTTTTAAATGTAACTAAAAATCATTCATGTACATGTATTGATCGAACAGTGCATCTAAAACGGCGAAGTTCTTCTACCGCGACGTGGACAGCACGTACCCGTTCTGGCGGCTGAAGACGCCCGAGGAGCACGAGCTGGAGACCGGCATCAAGAGCAAGGAGGCCAGGAAGTACATATTCAACTGCCTCGACGACATTGGACAGGTGGGACATACGTATATATATATATATATATATATATATATATATATATATATATAATGTATATATTATGTATATAATATACTAGCGACTCACCCTCGCTTCGCTCGGGTTCGTCCCTAGATACGTTTTAATTTATTTCGAGCGGAACCCTAATTCTTTTTCTAAAATAAAAGTAGCCTATGTTACTCCCTATAACATCAGCTATCTTCCAGTGAAAGGCCCGTCAAAATCAGTCCAGCCGTTTCAGAGTTTATCCAGAACAAACAGACAGACAAAAATTTAAAAGAAGTACCTACCTTATATAATTTCATATGCATTTGGTTAAACACTTTGACATTACACACACTTCAATTTTATTTATCTGCATAGATATACTATATATATGAACATGAAACAGTATGGTTATCGGACTAGTATTGTGAATGTGAAAGTTTGTGTATGTATGTGGGGTGTGAGGTGTGTATGTCACTCTTTTACGTTGAAACGTCTGTTTGAAACGGATTAGGGTGCAATTTACTTCATTTTCTACCTGGAGTTACACATAGGTTCCTGTTAGGCACTGACCCAAGTAACTTGTGTAATTTACTAATACATATACAAACAAACAACTACTGTTATAATTATATAATACATTTCACTTCTTGAAACGTACATATATATGTACGTTTCAAGAAGTGAAATGTTTTAAATTAATTTAAGAGCTTTTCTCTTCACTTGTTAGTCGTTAACTATATATTAACTTTTATTAGTTATGTTTAACATATTTGTAATTGTTGAATCTCTTTTCCAATTTATATATGGAATTTTATACTATCGAGCTAATCTCCATTCCATAAGATAGATAGTCAAATTCTTCTATGGCTACTAGTAGAAACTGCGAGCTTGAACTCATTTGATTAGTTTTATACATAGCTTGTTCATCAAGAGATTGTTAAATTGTTTTAGTTTTGTAAAACTTTAATTCTTAGTAGGGGAGCCCAAGAGGGGATTTTCTGTAGTTACTCGAGCGCGGCAGATTAACATAAAAGAGGTTACCTTGCACTCTATTGAGTACTTTCACCACAATATAAGTCTTCTATATAAAGGGCGCGTCTAGGGAAGCCGATTAAAATATTTAAAAAATGTTTTGATAAGGTAGAAATACTTGAAACCGTCAGATTAAGGTGTGGTAGGCTAGTCACATCCTGAAAAGTGTCCAATTTAATAATCTGCCGATTTGCACAAGCCTAAGAGGCAAAAATCATCATAAACTTTATAGTCGATTTTTGCCTATTTATATATTATTATTTGCATTATTATATATAAGTTCTAGGTGCTTGGTTGTTTTTATTTTCTGAATAAATACATATTATAACAAAATGGCGACTATAATGCTTATATAATGCCTAATTTATATGCAGATACTATACATTTTTTATAAACAAAAAAAACCTATATCATATATTAAAAATGTAATACATTAAAACATATTTTAAATATTTAAGTAAATTAAAATTATATTATGTGCATTATATCCACACAACCTATCAATCATAGTTTTAGCTAAACGAAACACAAGTGCGTAGTTTCTGTCTGTTTGTTTTTCTGTGTTTCTTTTTCATATTTTAAATTGTTTTTTGTATAAAAGTAGAATTAAAAAATACCTGTTTTGACAAGTACATGATAATAATTGTTTTTATTCCTCACTGACAAAAAAATAATAATTAGAATCTAGATTATGTAAATTTCGGACCTTGTAACTTGTAGTTCTCAGTTGTAAATCAAGATTATCTTGTTAATGTAATATAATAATAATAAAAAAATATAATTTAGTTATATTTATGGTGTTAATTTTGTAATATTTATTTGTATACATTTAAATATATAATTTATTAACATATTTAATTAATATTTTTTGCAATTTTATATTTTATTGTTTATTTTTTATTATTGTTTAGTAAAGTAATACTTTAAGGTCAGTGTCTAATAAATAATTTGTGTTTCAGGTGAACGTACCAACTGATCTTGAAGGCGGCCAACTGTTAGCGGAGAAAGCAGATAGAAGGGAATTTATTGATTTACTCAAAAGAATGCTTACAATGGACCAGGTTCGTTTTAAAATTACATTACTTATTTAATAATGTGATAAAATTATTATATAAGTTGTTTTGGTAAATCTTGTAGATATAAATAGTATGTAATTTGAGTATCATAAAGTTGAAATTCTTTTTTACTCATATAGTTTATCCATGATCAATATAAACATAAGCTTTATCGTTCACTTTCATTTTTAAATTTTTTAAGTAGTTTTAGTTTTAAGAGTTATTTTTTTAGAAAATCCTTTTGATATGTTCACGATTGTCTGTCAGTAAGATAGTTAATGAATTTCAGTTTTTCTTAAATACATATATGATTATAAGTTTAATTTTTTCGTTTTATACTATATATACCATCAAGTGAAATCTACGAATAGCTTTATGTTATAATGAAAATATTACTCATTTTTTTATTATATATGTATTTTATTACATGAATTTGTGTTTTTCATGAAAATTTATTACCAAATTTTGGTGATGTAAAGGCTTTTTGTTTTATTTTTTATATTTACACCAACAGGAAAGAAGGATAACGCCAGGCGAGGCGCTCAATCACGCGTTCGTGACGCTCGCGCACCTCGTCGACTACGCGCACTGCAATAACGTCAAGGCCTCCGTCCAGATGATGGAGGTAGGCGGTTCGATTTTCATATATATTTTTTTATAATTTTAAATTAAAACTATTTTTGAAATTCAATTTATTTATTTTTTTATATTTTTTTGATTGGTTATGTTTCAAAAACCACTATTACTGTGTCGTTTTCGTTACGTTACGAAAGTATATCATTAATTTTATTAGTATCCGTTCTGTCGCGAAAACTAATCCATAATATTATTGCGGTTCGTCAGGTGTGCCGTCGTTCTGGCAGCGTGGGCGGCGTGGGCGTGGGCGGAGTGGGTGTGGGCGGTGTGGGCGTGGGCGGCGGCGAGTACGTGGGCGGAGTGGTGGCGCCCGCTGCGCCCTCCGCCCACCACCTAGCACTGACCATCAACCAGCAGAGGTTGAGAGCGGCGCCCTATGATAATTTGGTATGCTTTTAGTTTTTTCATGTAATTTTTTAAATTTGATTTGTTTATTGCTTCGTTATTCATATTTTATTAAACACTGTTTTAAAAAAGGAACATTGAGTTATTTTTTTATTTATTTTAATTACCTTTCGCCGTAAATATGGAGAAGAACTTTAAAAAATATATCATCTTCACTTTTGAGATATATCATATAACGAAGGTATCTATTAAATTTGAAAAAAAAGTACTTGAGACGCGATGTTTTTGAAGTTTATAAATTACTAGCTTGCTTTCCAAAACAAACTTTTATCCCCATAATCACCACCTTAAGGGATGATTTCCGAGATAAAAATATCCTATGTCCTTCCCTGGGTCTCCAAACAAATATAAATCGGTTCAGTAGATCCAGAGATTACCCCTACAACGTCACAAACTCACAAACTTTATCTCTTTTTGTTGCGCCCCCAGTACCAGCTGTACGGCGGCGGGCGCGTGGCGGTGGGCGGCGCGCGGCAGTACGCGGCGCGCGCGGCCGAGCCCTTCCCGCACCAGTTCGTGTCCTCCATACTGTGCCAGCCGGCGTACCAGGTGTGTGCCTCATCTTCTGGGATACACATATATAAATTGATTCAGTATCAAATATTGGCAATGTAGAACGACATTTGTGATAAATTTATAATAGAAGTAAAATGATTTCTATATTGTATAAATGTACCAAATCTAATCAAATAATATGCAAAGGATGAAGGATAAGGAAGGATGAAGGAAATTAATTTTTAAATTTTCCAAATTTGATTGCACAATACTTTCTTGGCTTTACACGAATATTTGACATTTTAAATAAAACTACTTGTTCAGATTATTTCGCGGGTTTATTTTGATTGTTGGTTCCCGACGTTTCGAATGCTTTATAGCAATCATGATCCAAATCGAAATCCGAAAAGATAGTTTTATTTAGTAAAGCTTGGTTGGTTATTTCATTTTTGTTTATTTTAAATTACTCCTTTATTAAACAAGTCATATGTTAAAATCATTGTTTTATGATTTTGGTTACTAATATTTAAAACCTTCTGAAAACTTGATTTATTGGGTGCCATCATCGATATGGTACTTAGTACTTCTAGATGAGCTCGTATGATCTCACAAACATCCTAATATTCTCATATAATTTAACTTTTTTAAACTATTGCAGGTGCAGCAGCTAGCAGCGGCCGCGGCGGCGGCGGCGGCGGCGCACCAGCATGGCGTGGGCGTGGGCGTGGGCGAGGTGGGCGAGTGGCGCGCGCCGCTCATTGTGGAGCCCGCGCCGCTGCCCGAGCCTGACGTCTGGGACTTCCACCACGCTCACCACCATCATCCCCATAAGAGGTACGTCATTACCATCTTATCCGTCTTTTTGTTAATATAGGGCTATAGTGAGACTTACCTACAAAGGAAACAATATTGTTACTTAGTGTTATTAGAATTACTATTCACATTTTTTCGGAATGTTTTTCGATCGGCCATTTTGTCTATTTTACAATATTTATTTAAATTTTTGTATAGATATATTTTTATGAAAATTAAAAATTGTGAAATGTGCAAATATGTATCAGTTATTTAAACAAAATGTAGGTCACATTTATTACATGTAATAGATATATTATTTATATTTGATTAATAAAACAATTAAAATTCAAACAATCTTAAAAATATGATAGTGCAATATAATATACTGTTGAAGTACCAAAACAATATTGCTTCGTAAACAGAAATATAATCTGAATTAAATGTAAACAGTATTTAATGGAAATAGTTACTAACATATACTCGAACATATATTAGAGGTGAGAATATATATACATAATACATACTCGTATGTATATATAATAAAAAGAAATAGAATACATAAAGAGGTTGTCGACAGATCAACCAAGCAACAGACGAGCGCCGTGCCGCACTACCAGCCGCACCACCAAGCGCAACAATACAGGTGCTTGACACACAAACATACATACATATATACATACATCATGATATAACAAAACACCATCCAACCATATTTTTTTTAAGTTCCATTATATACTCTCATTTCGTAATTATGTTAGTCCTATTATTTGTATTGTTTATGATTCTTATTGTCTATGTTTCTTTGAATTTAACTTTTTTAATTCTTTTTTTGTGTTTTTTCATTTTAAATAACACTGTATTAGTGGTAGTCTATATTGCTTACGTATTAGAATTTGGTGTAATGTAACTCTAACAGTACTTCGTTGGACAGGCTGTATATCGTAGACATTAGACATAATTGATTTGCAAAATGTACACCGTTTTAATTTTATTTTTCATATAATATGGTTTTAACAGTTATTTGTTTGTCATGCAGTTATTTTTAATAAAATATTTGGTGATATATTATGGCAGGTATAAGATATACATTTCTAACATTAATTTCTATGATTAAAATGGTAAACTAATTGTTGTTGTTCATGAACATTTCTTAGTATCTTTAGATTTTATATTTTTTAATTACTAATGTCTAACTCTAGTCGCTTTAACCAAGCTTTTTATTCTTAGTTTTATACTAATCATAGTCAACATGTATATGTATGCACATTTTTATATCGTCTTTATTGTATTTCACACGGAGCTATGTTATACACTAACTTATTATATTTAGTCAACTATGCTTTTATATCATAACTAGATGTTTGTTTAACGTCTGCTTTTTATTTACACAACTCTTATAAGAAATAGAAGAACAAACGTTTACAGACAGACTAACACTTTGCCGTTTTATATAATTGTTTTTTTAGGATTTTTATTAATGTATTTATTTTTGAATGGCCAGTATGGCGAGCGGTGGCGGTAAGAAGGAGGCGACTCAGCTCTCCCCCGTCAAGAAGCGAGTGAAGGAAGGCACGCCCCCGTCCAGGCACAGGCATCATGATCACACGTGAGTTTGACAATCACTACATAATTATAAAACAAAGTCGATTCCCGCTGTCTATCTGTCCCTATGTATGCTTAGATCTTTAAAACTACGCAATGGATCTTGATGCGGTTATTTTAATAGATAGAGTGATTCAAGAGGAAGGTTTATATGTATAACACATGCATGTTATAGTACAGAAAAGCCGAGAAATTCAAAGATTTGTATTTCATACTAACTGTTAAAACATACCTAGGGATGAACCCGAGCGAAGCAAGGGTGAGTCGCTAGTTTGTTTATATATGTAGTATAATTGTGATAGTTTGTATGTGTGTATGTCCGTTACTCCTTTATGTCGAAAAAGCTGGACGGATTTGGGTGAAATTTAGCATATAGATATGTAGACTATGTCTCAGAGTAAAATATAAGCTTCTGTTAGGAATCTAAGGACGTATCCAAGCGGAGCGAGTCGCTAGTTTGCTTATACAATATAAATATAGAAAACGATACATTAATAAAAAAAAACTCCCAAATTGTCCAGTAACCGCGGCGCGACGTCGGCCGCGGGCGCGTGGGAGGGCTGCGCCAGCGCCGGGCACACCATCACCATCCGCGACACGCCCTCGCCCGCCGTCTCTGTCATCACCATCTCCGACTCCGACGACGACGCCGACCCTCGCGCCAACAGAGGTGACGCACACATACACTAATAAAGATACATACAACCACACATAGACACATTTTGACGACACGTTTGGTTCAGTTTGTTGTAATCCTACAGGTTCAGGTTCAAGTCACGCTGGGAACATTCATTTATGTGATGAGCACGAATGTTTGTACTTAAGTTATTGGAGTTTATATTTATAATATGTATGTATTTAAATGTTATATAATATGTTTAGTATATCAACTATCTAGTATCCATAACACAAATCTCTAAAAATATATATAAATAACATAAAAAATATAAAAATATTTAAAAAAACATACGCGCGCACGCATTCGCGTTATCACCATCAGAGTCAACTCATCACCATCACAACACACAAAAATCATCACCCTCCGGCTGAACGCTCAAAAAGAAGAATAGATCTAGTAAAGAAATACTGTTCATCTTTGGCACATAGTTTCAACAAGTGATGTCTCCTCTCTTCGTCATCTTCATTACCATCGCCGTTATATGCAAGAGTTTTTTTTAATATATTTTTTTCCTATATGTATGTTCTTATGACTCTTTATGTTCCAAGGATTCCTAGGCTTGATCCCCCTCCTATTAAAGGGAGGCCCGAGCCCAGCAGTGGGATGTTACAAAGGGCTGAATACAAGGATTCATTTTTTTTTGTTTCGTGGCCTTGCATAATACAACTTAAGAATATTATATGTATGATATGGGGGTTATTGTTTCGATTTTTCATATCATAAAAATCAACATCGTTTCATCGTTAGTTATGTTCAAATACAGTCAATGCTCCTGAATATTAATCTGTCTGTATTCTATATCTTTAAAAATTTTGCTAATCTTCATAAATTTATTGTTATTTGAGGATGTTTTTACTATCAATTGTACGCATCCCTAATTAAGAAACTTAAATAATTAATTATCTGTTTATATATAAATAGACAAAACTCAGTACCTTTTTCTCCTCTGTTTGTCAACCGATTTTCTTTTTTTTTCTTTTATTAAAGTAGGTATTGATGAGCTTTATTTTCATCAACAAAAAAAAAATGAAATTAGTTACTTTTTTATATAGATAAGTATTCTATTCATATAAATTTTCCTTAAATTTTCAATAATAATCCACGTTCGAATCGATCGGTCGGATTTCAATTACTTGGCGAACTTTAGTTTATATAAAATCTTGAGTTTTTGCTCATTTTGTTCATTTTCTCTTGATTCATTAATACTTCAAATTATGTTTCGTTGATTTTAAAAGCAATATAATAAATTATTGATGATGCTATGTAAGTTTCTTGATTATTATTATTTATAGTGTCAATTTGGCGTGCCTTTCTGGGGGTACACGTGATTCGATATTTATTCATTGCACTTCTTCGTCGATGACGTCATGATTATTTTCTTAAAAGAGGTGAATATTTCATGTAATATTAATTATCAATATTATATTGTTAAGATTTTATACAAAAACGCATAAGTCGTTCTTTCACTATAGGATATATTTTGAAAAATAATAAATATTGCTAACGTTACTTTGTATTAAATTTTTCACACACACACACATGTATGCAAGTTATAGAAAAACATAATTCTAAACCTACCAAAACCGATATTAAAACTGTAAACGACATTTTCAAAATTATATTAAGTCCCCTACTATGAACACTGATCAATCTCGTATGATAAAATACGTTTGCAATTAAATTGATCGAAAAAATTGTAAATAAAGTGATAATAATAAAGATATTTTATGCTATATGACCACTGACCAGATATAATATAAGTGTATGTCCACAACGAAAAACACAGTACAAATAATGAAAAGAATATATATCGTTAATATAATTTTAATTTTATTTATAGGTAGCGGCGAATGCCAACCACATCAACAAACTCACGCAACAACAAACGTTACAAACAACGCCAGCATCACCACCAACAGTAGTGCGGGCGCGAGTGGGAGTGGGATCGGGAGTGGGAGTGGGGGAGTGACGGTGAGCACTACCGGCGGAGTTATATGCAGCGCGAAGACGCCTCGTGACGAGCGGCACGTCAAGCACGAGCCGCATCACCAGCCCTGTCATCATCATCACACGGTGATTATTTATTGGAGACACTACACCTCGAACAGTATCTAGCAGTAACACATAGCCAACGGCAACCTTAATAAACCAGCAACAACTGCACTTTTTTTGTTCTTCTGGAATCTATACATATAATAAAACTGTAGATAGAGGTCGAGTGTCTGTACATATATAGAAAAAATGCTAAAAACCGAGTCAAGGGGATGTAAGAAGAGAAATAGAAAAAATCCAGTTTTTTTCTAATTTTTTGTTTCTCTGTCTGTTTGTACTAGCTAATCTCCGTAACTATTAGACCGATTTAAATGAAGTTTTGCATCGTGGTACCTTATATCCCCGGTAAACATTTTAGATTCTTTTCATCCCGGAAATTAAAGAATTCCCGTGGGATTGTTAAAAAACTATAGTAACTTATACAGCTTAGTACACAAAAACTACTTATTGGATTTTAATGAAACTTTACAATAATATAGTTCATACATCAGAATAAGAAATAGGATACTTTTTATTCCGGAATAATGTACAGTTGCCACGGGATAGATTTGGCTGTATTTGTCTAGAGGCGAACTCGAGCGAAGCGAGGGTGAGCCGCTAGTATTCTATAACTAGGCAACAATCTAACAGTATCAAATAACCAACAGCAGCCCCAGCAGCCGCAGCAGCCCCAGCAGCCGCAGCAGCCGCAACGGCCGCCGCAGGCCACGCCGCAGAGCCAGAAGAAGCGGCTGCTCGCGCTCGCGCAGCAGGAGCAGGCCAAGCTCGAGCACCGCGACCACCCGCCCGCGCCCGCGCCCGCGCCCGCCGCACACTATAATGTGATTATACATGCTATACATACTAATATTATTCATGGGAGAGTAATTCTATTTGTGTGTTTGTCTGTTACGTTCTCGATTTAGGTGAAATTTGGTATAGAGATAGTTTAAGAGTCTGGGAAAAACTAGGATAGTTTTTAACCCGGAATTCACCATAAATACCACGTATTACAATACCACATCTACATTATATGGTATATAGGAGTAGTATTGTTTTAATAATATGGAAGTGTGTGCGTGTGAATATGTGTGTGGGTGTGTTTAAGTTAAATTTTATAATATACTCCGTTCATATTAATATAACATTCAAAATATTTTGTCGCAGAGCGGTTCGACGGTACGCCAGACGAATGACTATCAATGCAATCAGTATGTTCCTACGCAGCAGCATAAGAGGGATAGTGTAAGTTTTATTTGTATTTATTAATTAAATATATGAATAGTTTGCGCTAAATCTTTGTAGTATAACAAAATCCTTAATAATATTGCAAATGCATATGAGTATAGATTATTGTTTAATGTACTACATCAAGTACATCCAAAAATAAGGCCCAATAAGTAAGTGGCTTTATATTTTAGATTTATTTGTTATTTTTTTAATACTTGTTAAATTTGAAGTTGCTTGTAAATCTAATAAAGAGAAAAATCACATACAGTGACAAACAAATAATTAGTAATATGTTTGATCGCGGTGTTTTGTTCTTTTTTCAAATCGTTTCTTCATTTCGTACTTCTAACTAATACATTTTATTTTCGATTACAGAGCGGCGGCTGTCGAGACTATCTGCCGGTCAGCGGTGCAGTAAGCGGAGTTAGCGGAGTCAGCGGAGTGAGCGGAGTAAGCGGAGTGAGCGGAGTTAGCGGAATGGGTATGAGCGTGAACGTGGGTCCGCCCGCCGCGCACAAGCACGCGCCGCACGCGTGGCACCACCACCCCCACCCGCACTACAAGTGAGTAGCGTTGGTGTGACACGGACTTATTGGTTGGGTTGAGCGGAATGAACATTTTGAGCGCAATAATATTTAGCAGATATTGTATGTAAATTATTATTAATAGTGAGCGTAAAGGAATATTGGAAACAATTTTTGAAATATTTGAAATGGATTGTTCTTCGTCTATGATGTTAACTAATTGTTCAATTATATTTGTGCTCAACTGGCACAGAAAATGTAACTTAAATTATAAAGTATTATTATTAAAAAATATATTGTTCCTGTACAACTAATAGCGAACTTAAAGGAGTAATCAAATATCATTATGATTAAAAAAATATTTATGACAAGTGCTCATTTTTCTCCGTACGTGATATTAACTAACTAGTTAGGTAACTTGTGTTCAAAAGGCATAGAAAACAACGTATGTATTCAGCCCGCTGGGGGCATTTATTTATGTGATGAGCACAAATGTTTGTACTCCAGTCATATGTGCTTACATTTATAATATGTATGTATTTGAAGTTATATATTATGTGTAGTGTATCAACTATCTGGTATCCATAACACAAGCCTCATAGCTTAACATGGAACTAGATGAGGTTGTGTGTTAATATCCCAACATATTATTTATATTCATACATAAAATTTAATACAATGAGAGTGCCAATAAAGCCCAAACATTTCGAAAAGTGTTCGTTCCCGAAAGTTCAGTCGAATATACAATTTTTTTTTTTCTGTCGAATAATTGAAAGAGTGAAACTAAAGCCCAAGTTTTCCCAGAAGTGGTGTGAGTGGAGTGACGGCGGCCGGCGGCGTGGGCGTGGGCGTGGGCGGCGCGGCGGGCGGCGGCGTGCTGTCGCCGGGCGGCGTGTCGCCGGGCTACCTGCCGCCGCCGCTCTACGTGCCCACATACCATTATCACACGTGAGTATTGTTATAATATTACATACAATATGCTTTTACTGCCTAACGTTAGCCTATGTGTCACTTCAGGTCATAGTTTATCTCATTATGTAATTAATAGTTCGATTTGATTTTATTTTAACCCCAGTTATAATAATAGTTTAATTATTCTAACTAAAAGATGTTTTTTTAACAATTGATGAATATACAATAAACATATATCAGAAATCAATTTTTTTCAACATTAATAACATCATCATTTATCGTATGTATATTCACACTGTCGCTCGACATCTTATACAGGTGATTTAGTGTTAATTAATTAAAACCTATTAAGTTATTTTATCTTGTTTATTAGTTTAATCCTGGTTATTAATTAAATTGTGTTAACTAATTTAATCCTGTCAATAAAACCTCAGCGGCGGAGTGAGCAGCGCGCACAGCGTGGCGGGCGTGGCGGGCCCGCCGCCCGCGCACCACGGCAGCCGCCTGCCCTACCTGCAGCCCTACTCGCCCACCTACCTCGTGCCGCAGCACCCGCAGCAGCACCTCTGGTACACCGACTGATGCGCCCACGCCCACGCCCACGCCCAGACGATACGAACATGAGAATATGACGCATGCGTCGAATATGAACACGTAATAGTTGGAGATGCGCCGTATGTTCGCCATGATACGAATATACATATGTATGTAATAATTAGTGATGCGCCGAATATTTAGTATATTCGATATATGTAATCCATTTTTATGTTTGTAAATGGAACAAGCTATTATAGAATATTTAAAAAACAAAAATTTTTTATTAAACTGTTTACTGCGCAAGGTTTAATCGAATATTTTTATTAAATTAAACCCATACTCGACGCATCTCTAATCACAATATATTATAATTTATAAATTTTCAACGAAAATCGATATTGGATTTGTTATAAGTGATGCGGACTTAGTGATTCGACACAATCGAATGTATCGGTAGATGTAATGGACAATGTATTATGTAACGCACAACTCGCCGCCCTTATTGACGAATATATATGGTTGGATATCGCATTCGACAATAAGGGCCACCGAGTGAGTACACACTCACGAACCGTCTTCACACTGCAATTTTTATTCAAAACTGTGACTAGTGTGTTTTGAGCGCGTGTTCAAAATGTTCCGTGTGTTGATGTCTTTAGATTAAGACCCGGTTTACATGACAATGCCCGATTTCTTAAATGAACTCATCGTACACGTGTCGTGTAAACGGCTTTAACATTTTAGGTGTTGTTTTGATTTTACTAACACTAACTTTTGAAGCTTTAAGGGTCACTATATAATAATATTCACGATATTTTTAATCATTTCGTCGTTTTTGTGTAGTTATGTAGTTATATTATGTATCGATAGGTGTATTGTCATATAAACGGGGTCTAGATGTTTTTATTGGATTTCTGTACAAATTAGATGTGATTCCGTTACGCGTTGTCGCGTATAGAGATAGTTTTGATGCGTGTTTGTGTTTTTATTTCCTAGTTGCGAACTAATCTGTATGGTAGGTTTATGTTACACGTATTCGTATACGCGTAGTGACGAGAGTTTATTTACTTGTACATGGTGTGTAAATTAATGTTTAAGCTGCAAGCAAGCGAGCGAGTAGGTTGCATTTACTAATATTTTATATAGTAGATTTTAGCGTTTCTACCAAATTAAAAAAAATGTTTTATTAATGTACGGATATACTGATGTATCGATGTATTTGTAGGTTTAGTTTGACAGTGCGTCAATTACATTGATTTTATTGATTTTAGGTATGAGATTGATTATTTTTATGTTTACGTTCCATATCACGTAGCGTAGCGGGGTTAATGTTTAACGGACAAACGAACATGCTGTGTTTATTACCTATTTAATCGTATTAACTGGAATTATGTAGATATAATTGTATAGGCGGTGACGGATTGTATAGTCATAGTAGTATTCAATATTAAACAAAATAAAAAAAATTAACATCACTCCATATTAACTGGTTCTTGCGAATTATACTTGTTTTCAAGTCGGTTAATACTGAGATACTAAATAACATAATAAATAAGGCGATGTATTGAAAGTATTCGTTATATAAAGCTTTGAACAGTCGTGGCGCGATCGCGATGGCGTCGTCGATTAACTGAAAATATCTAATAGTTTTATAATAAATGTAATACGAAATAAACATTCATAAGGTTATATCGTGTATATTCGTTTGATAGAACAAAATTGTTGGTACTTTCTCGTGAACACATTTGCTACTGCATTGTGTTAATTATAATTTATACTTTTTTAAGGGTTTGCCGGGACGATGTAGTGCGTCGAACTTATTGTTACGCCTGGGTTCGATTCATCTCGATTATCGCACTAATACCTTTATAATCAATTATATTGTACATAATCATTTAAATATCCTAGGTTTTTTTTATTATGTGTCTCTATAGTTTTGCTTAGTAGTTGTTTACGATATAATTTATAATTATTATCATATTATACCGTACGGTAGTTTGTAACGCATCCTATAAAATTTTCTTTTAATTATTAATTATTATTATTAATGTCGATGGGTAATTAATTTTCTATCAAACGTGTTTTAATGACAACAAAATATGTATACAAATAATTTTTATTTCTATTTTATTATTTAGCACTAGATACGCTGTCTTGACGATTATTGTGGGTTAGTTGCACGTTATGCTGCTGCAGTGAGTTTTATTTTAAGATATACATGTGTACAAGCATTGTTTTAAATATGCGAAATGCCAATTCATTTTTCCTCTCAAAACCTTTTTCTTATAATCGGTAGTGTTTCCTTCATTTAGGTCAGACTGTATTACTACTCTTGCCTTTTGTGAATTCCGGGTTTTTGTTTTTGGTCATTTTGGTCTATTTTTTGCAATGCTTTTACTATATTTTTAATTTATTATGTCACGTGTCTCATAGCTCCAATGAAGTGTGTAAAGAGTACATTGATAAAAATTTTTATTAGACATTCTGAATATAGAATATTGTACGACTGACATATGTTTTATGATTGTGTTAGATTATTCAAACATATTATATAATATTAGCGAAAAGTATCTAATATTTGTATCGAAATGCTATGTTATTTTTCAATGAATGAGACGCGTATCATAATGTGCACAATTTTAATCAGTGACCACGCGAAGTACTTGATCTCTAAGCTATATTATAGTCGTGCTTTATATGTAACCGACTGTTCGGACCTTCGCGTGGAACAGAAATAGCGTATTTGACTATCTAAAACAGCGGTTCCCGATGTTTTTGGTCACGAAACCCTAATTCAACATATTTTTTTTTAACGGATCCCCTTTTTGATGATGTCTAGACTGATTGTGCCGTTGTAAGAATACTTTCTTGTTTAACTTGAAAGAACAAATCAAGAATGAAATATATTAATACTTGGTATATATACATATATTTGAATTATTTAATGTGATTAATGATTTTTTTTTCACATTTTTATTTATAATTGCACTAAAATTAAATTTCATGTCTGACAACGTTTTATTTAACTCTCGGACGGAACTCTGAACCCCCATGACCCTTCCACTGAACCGAAAAGGTTCCGTGGACCACTATTTGGGAACCGCTGATCTAAAATATATTAATTACAAATTTTGTTTTAAATTAATAAATCATAGTTTCTATGTGAACAATTCACAAATCGATAGACTTAACAAGATAAACAGCTTGTTATGCTGTTTGTTTCGAGAATTCTTAATTAGATAATGTGTTTTTAATCACGTGTATTGTCAAATTTAATTAAATGTTTGTAATTAATTCCCTGAAGCACAATTAATTTCACAATATATAACAAATTAATTAATGTACTCTTTGGGCAATTATGTCTGTAATATAATTTTGAAGTAAAACTTCTTTTGGCGTGACTGAGGGGTGAGTCGAAAGAATTCTTGGAAATCAAAATTATTTTTAATAGTTTAAAAAATAATAATAATATTAATAATTTTATAATAATTATTACTTATAAAAATGAATATTTATTACTAATAATTTTATAAACAATATTATATGTATATTTTGATTTGTTTTAATGGAATTACGGTATCTGTCACAGCGCCAAAGAAGTTTTACTTCAACCGCGCGTAAAGATTACACGCACTGATTTTTTTACTAATACTGCGGTCCCGCGTGTGGGGCCGGCGTTATATTATATTAAAAATTTATTGTTCTTTATTATCTGTAATTTTGTCTAACTTATTGACTGTACTATGAGCTATAACGTAATTGTAGTTAATTAAACAAATAACCATCTTATATTTAGATTTAGGACTTGATAGTCAAATATTCTATTTGGTTTTGTTTAAGATTTAAGTTGTTTTTATTTGCGGAACTTTGGGTTTACTATAAGTGTATTAACAATGAATTTGTTAATGTATTCGTCGATTTCATAGTTTGTAGCGTCCGCTTATTGTTTTAATTTTTAGTCGTGAATTACATAAATATTGCCTTATTATTAATATATAAGTATTCTGGGGCATAACGGGTCACGTATACACATAAATAAATGCAAACTGTACGTCGGTGTGTTTATATTCGAATGTATATTTGGGTTGTTGCAATAAATTTTCTAAATAAATTTCACATTCGCACACAAACTCAGGTCGCCCCTAGGTTTAGTATCGTCGGACCTCACCTCAGGACCCGTTTGTTACGACAATAATTATATTATAACCGATTATGTACAAATACAAGTTATTTGTAAGTTTGTTTCCCTTGCGCTAGTTTCGCCCCCACGCCGCGCGTGCCGCGGGCAGTTTTGTTTCTACTGTGATGATGATTTGCGTGGCTTTTGGTTCCTGTACCGGCCAACGGCCTCGTGTGTGGGTTGTATGTAATGTAGGAACCATTCACGTTATTTATATTTTTGGTGATCAGGGCAGAGCGCTGAGTGTTGCTAGAGTTCTTTTTCTTCATTTGATAATCACATAGTTATTATGAGAGAATTGTAAATAAACATCCAGATGCCCCTTTTTATTTTACTTTTATTTTTTTCCTTTTCCTTTATTTTTGTTTTTTTTTTATTATTAATATATAATTATTATTTGCCAGTCGTGGGCTTGTCGCGCTCAGTCTGTTTGTCATAGGATATTTGTTTTATTTATAATACAATGATTATAATTGATGATTATTAAATAATATTATGAATTTATTTATTTACACATTAAGTTCGATATATAAATATATTTTGAATTTACATTTTCAATTTTTGGCAAATGCGTTCTTACTATGATATTTAAACTACTGACGATTTAAAACCGTATTAGCATTGCTGTGGTATATCACGCATGTTATAGAAAAAACATTGGAAATTTTGAATTACATCTAAATCCCCCAAAAGACTTATCAGACTTAGAAGAAGAATTTTATCCAGCACCAATAAGGACCACAGTGTTAGTAAAAGTGCGCGCCGCATAATAATTTCTACCTTATCACATTGTTATAAAGGCGAGAGTCGCCTGAGCTGCTGTCTCGACAATAACCCAGTGTCAGACAATAATCATTTTCAA